CGAATTCGGATTAGGAGCGACTCGCGCTGATCCGGTGCTGGCACCTTGGAAGATGATTGGGCCGGGCTTGGGACCCACATGGGCGGCCCAATTTGAAGGGAAGCCTTGTCGCAAAATGGGCTGGAAGCCATAAAAATGGGGGGGGGGCATGTTTTGAGGGTCCCATTTTTTTGCGGTTTTGGTACATTTAAAGCAAAACCCACAACAAAACCCACCCATTTTGGGTGTCCCCGAAGCACGGACATACCCAAATGTGTTTTTCAACTTGTGATTTCCTTTAAACCGCTCCCCCCCTCCCCCCAAAACACATGGCACCATGCCTCAAAAAAAAATCGCAAAAATGGACCCCCACCCCTCCAAAAGCAATATGGCACCACGCCTCAAACAAAAAAGCAATACATGGACCCCGCAGCAGGAACTGTTCCCCCACCCCCGAGCCGCCCGGCCGCTGGGAACTGGACACCTTGGTTCTGAGGCGGTGCGCCAGCTCCAAGCCAGCCCGCAGCAAGCGGCGCTTCTGCGGCAGTTGCGCGCCAGCCGCTCCGCTGGAAGCGCGCGGGTTTGATGCAACGCTCAAAGGGATTGAGGGATTGGAACTGGGTGAGGTTGAGATGAGGTGGGCTTTGTATGGGCTGATATCCTTTGTTTTGGGAATTTGGGCCATAGGTTTTGAGCGGGTTTTTGGCCACGGTTTGTTTCGGCAATGGGCTTTGTTACGTTCTTTTGCACCCATTTCGGTGTGTAATTTCAATCCACCGGGCTCCCTTGCAAAGAGATTTGGATCAAATCGGGCATGGATGGAACCCGATTTGAAAGGGAGAAACCACATACCGCGAAGCGGATTTTGTCCATCCATAGGGGCATAAGTGCTACCTCCCTTTCTTTCTTTCAACACAAAGCAAGGCCTTTTTGTTGGACGCAATGGGCGGAGCAAGTTTCACCTTCGACCTAATCCGACCCCTTATTGGGGGATCGGACGACACGCTGGATTGCATTGATCAGGGTTTGGACCAAGACGAGGTCAACGTAGATAGTGCAATCCCTGGGTCCAACTAGATTGCTAAAAATAATGTTAACCCCTGATTCATAAACCCCCACTTGATATTAAGGGGGCCCCATGTTCAGTGAAATCCTTTCTTGCAGGAGACCCCGTGACCAATAGCTGGGGGGGCGTTTATAGTCAGAGGTCAACATTACGGAGGCCAGCACAAGGGTTAAAGTTTCGCAAGCCCGAGGAAACTGGAATAGCTAGTTGATGTCGATCTTGGAGCCCTTGCGGACAAGGCGGTTTCCTCTCAAAGTGAAGGATTCCCTTTCTACAGTAGGATACCTCCTCCATTAATCAGCTAGTGTTTTGTACTCTCAGATGTCCAGTAGCAAAGTAGTTCGCTCTTTCGTGGAACCATGTGGGCAAAGCCTTTGAACAATTTCCGCACATTGCCCGCAATGTGAGGGACCAGTTTTTCATGTTGCTTCGATGAACGTGCATCCTATGTGTCAAAACAAAAGTACCATAGGTACCCCACAACCCAATAGTCAAACAACATCATTCTACGCATTTAGATTAGGCCCCGATGAACGAAAGCACATGCTTTCCGCCCAAACCAAGGCCTTCTGGAGGCGGGAAGAGAGAGACAGCGAGAGAGAGGGAGGGAGAGATCTGAGATCGAGAGAGGGGGATTGTGTTAGCCGTCCGGTTCCTTAGGCTAGTTGTTTTCAGTTGGTTTAGTGGTGTCCACTTGAGCAACTAGACTATGGTGGTTATATGCAGCCCCATGGTGCCAGTGAAGTTTAAGTATAAACTGCTTCATTCATTTAAACAGTTGTCGTTAAGAATTGGTAGGTGAGGCTCTGAATGTCAATGTCAATAGACAGCATCCGCAACACGACCTTCAGGAACACCCCGCCAAGTAACTCCATGGTCACGTTTAAGGTGCACATGGCGTCCCGGGGTCAAGGGGTCCAGGGATTTGGACTTATTGAATAACCTTTTTTTGCAGTCAAGTTGTTCTTTTCCCACAGCTGAAGTCGTATTGAACAACAGCTGTTTTCGCATTCAAGAAAAAGTCACTTGTTTTCTCCAGGTGAAGTCGTTTGTTGTTCCGCCGTAAACCACTCGCTTGATTGGAGGAGGGAAAGGCGGGATCGGGTCAACGACTTACCAAGCGTTGACCCCGGACTCATTGGGCTTTGGTGTTTTTTCTTTTTTCTGGGGATGTTCCTCTCAGAAGGCATGTTTTCTCTTTCGATTTACTGGGGGGGATATTAATCCTGGTGCACGTCAGGAGTTGGTGTGGAAACGGAAACTGAAAGGAAGCCAATCATCCGAAGAGTGTCCAATGGTCCCTCCAGAAGTGATGCTCCGACTAAACCCAGGGACAGGGGGAGGTTCGTCTCAAGCCGTCCGCAATTTGGCCAGGTGAACATCTACCACTGCAACGTGGCCATCGCGAGCAAATCTGACTGGGCGCAGTCTGCGGCGCTCTTGGAGCAAATCAGGTCTTGGCAGGTAGAGCCAATCACCAGCTACTCGGTGAGAGTTTGAGCCATGGATTTCCCCGAAGGAAAACAGCAACTGGGAATCCCTACGGTTCAACCCCGATGAAAGGCAATTTGCATGATGAACTTAGGTAATTCACGGTGGTTGTACTAATCCCCTTTGATTTAATGGTGCTTTGAACCCCAGGAGAATGGTGGTTCTTAGGCGAAGGGTACCCATTTTGGATTCGTTAGGGAAACCAACATGGGAAACCGCCCATTTTGTGGCTTCCATCTCCATTTTCGAGACATGCATTAAACAGACATAAGAAATTACAAGAATCACATTTAGTCATGGGGGTACGTTTAGAAAATCCAAGGCGGAGCCCGCCTAAACGGGTCCTCTGAATTTACTATGGTTCGGATTCCCCGCCCAATAAACAGAAAGGCCTTGGGACCCAAATTGGATGACAATCCTGGACGGTAAATGGTGGGTATATGAACCCAACCATTGTTTAAATGGTGGTTTGGGGGTGGGTTAAAATTAAACCACCAGGGGACAGCAGGTTTGAGTCCTTGTTTCCATTTTACCAGGGTTCCATTTTGGGTACATATTTTTGACCCACAGCCATTTGAACCAACCCAACCATTGTTGGCTGGTGGTTTGAACCCCAAACAAAAATCATTTGCCCCACTCGGCTCTCCCTGAGTTTGACGCGTTGAATACAAAGTGCTCGGACTCCTGGGACCAGACGGCCCCTGGTAGCCTGCCATGTTGGGAGATCGGTATCTACGGGGTGCATGGTTTATCCACAAAAAATGGGTTCTGGACATTAATGGGGCTCCAATTACTCCCTGGGCATTATCCCCTCGAAAATGGGTTCTACTCCCTGGCATTAACGCTGAGGCGTTCGGCTGCGTGACGAAGAACCCTGGAAGGCCTCAAAATGACCTGCCTGCAGTGCCATTTTCACATTTTGCCTTTTTGGTTTTCCATCATTTTCCCGTTCAAACGGGGCCTTTTCTTTGTTCCTCTTTTTCTCTGGTAAGTTAGACCATAGTGACGAGGGAGGAACCAGAGGGAGGAACTCGTACCGGAGAGTCGCCTCGTTGAATGACAGGTGGTTCGTAGATATCCCGGTTGTTTGTTGGGTATGGTTTTGAGTATGATGCAGGTGGGTTTGTTTGCCCCGAACCAGGAGATTGGACTCCCAAGAAAAGACAGAAACAGATATGTAAGACATGCCAACGGCGTCCTTTTGGAATCCTGGAACCCCCCTTGAGACCGACCAAAACGGGGGGACCCAGAGCGCCCAGAGAGCCTGAGGCTCCTACAACGCTGCGATCAGCTCCAGGTCCCCTTGGCCCAGGCCAGGGCCAGGAGCTTGACATCTGTCAGGCATCTGCGTCCGTTTTGGGTGGTTTTGGACGAAACATGACATTGCAACGGCTTCCAAGATAAATCGACTCGAAGCATGTGGAAACCATAGGTGTCCTGTTTGGAGGTTTGGGTCGAAAAACAGATGGCGATTCCTGGTTTGCCTGGTGGTTTAATCCACCAGGGATATCCATCTATTTCCCCGAAAAGGACACCTATAATCAGGCCTTCTTTTTTTTTTGTGTGTGTGTGTGTGATTGGGAAGACTGGAATGCCTCGTTTAAGGGAAACCCCAACCACGATGTGTTCCTTTCTTTCTTATTTTTTGTGGGGGTGGGGAGGGTCCAAGCCATACCGGGGATGGGAACCCCAAAGCTGGAATGTGTTTTTTTTCTTCAAGGAACCGGTCCAACCCATCTTGAGACACCCAAGTACTGAAGGGTGTCCTTGGATTGTGTTTTCAACCAAGCCTGCCAATGGCTGAAATGTTTTTTTTCTCCCAACCTGTTGATTTTTAAGGGAACCGATTTCACTACTACGTTGTTTTGTCCAGGGGGCGAAAAAGACAAATAGAGGATAGTCACGCGATTCGCATGGAATCTCTGCAAGTCACGAACATCAACTCTAAGCGATGGGACCGGTCTGACTTCTGAAGTGGGATTTCGATCTCGTCCCCTCCTCTACCCCCAACGTCTCCAACTCCGCGCTGTGCATTCAATCCCCGAACTTCCGAAGGCCAGGTCGCGCGTCTAGATTTCAGGCAGCAATTTGCGAAGCAAGGTGCGAATGAGTTCCCGTGCCAGAAACCTGAACCCTCAAAGTTCCAGCTGAAACATGGGTGATAGCAACCCAACATTATGTTTGGTGATATCCTATGTTTGAGGGAAGTTTGAGGGAGGACGATGAATGGAGCTCTAGCGATCTGAACTCGGACTTTGGTCACTATGGCTCAAAATTAAGAGCTTTGGGTTTAGACCGTGGTGTTAAACAAACAGTTCAGGCCCAGGGTTGCGGGATCACCTGGGGTTTATCCAACTTCTGTGAGACAAGGGAATCTCCCCCTTATGGGGGGTTAGTCTTTGGGAAGTGGTCATTTTCCACAGCCCTTTTCAGACCTGTTCTGGTCAATCCACTTAGGAAGTGAGTTATGGCCCCCCTTTGCGCTGCAACGGTGGGATGTTTATTTTCCGAGAATGGTCTTGTGCCAGAATTACCATTTGCCCGTGAAGGATGCGGCACACCATTTGGGCCAATGTGGCTACTTGAACCAGCACGCCGTGGGGCTAAACCCCTTCAGGCTGACTGAAGTCCACGTGCGCAGACTCCGCAGCCCATCTGATTCCTGCGCAAAACCCCTTGCAAGTGGTGTGGGCACAGTTGGCCCATGGTCTTCAGAGGCAGCGTCCCCCGGGCGAATGAATGCGAGAGCGTTAGCATCTTCCTTGGCGATTTGCATAGAGACCTCCTGGAGGTGGAACTGTTGCGGAGCTCGGACTCAGAGCTTTCTTCCGGCGCAGCGTCTCTCGCCTTTTGAACAGTGCGGCGAGCTTTTTGAAAGTTTGGAGCACGGCGCACGGGTGACGGCCTCGCCATGCAATGAGTCGCATTTGCCTTCCAGACTTGGTGTCACGGAGGAGGCGTCGGCCTCCGGTTGGTCGGAGGGCTCCGAGGGGATCTTGAATGTCCTGCTACAGCCGAGAGCTGATCCCCAGGCAGCTTGTGAGGTGTTGACCGAGCGAGCCAAGGCCCTTGAGGTGCTTTTGCTCTATCAGGAGGGTGGGATCACTGGGGGTGAGTTTATCCCCCACTGTAATACAAGGAATCTCCCCCTTCTGGGGGGTTAGTCTTTGAGAAGCCCTTTCTGTTGTATCACAGAAGTGGATTCCATTTCAACCACAGCCCTGATCAGGAGGGCCTCTACGAGTGGTTGCCGCCATTTCGCTGGCTGCTGGCTGAGGTCCTACCGGCCATGAAGGTTCCGTTGCATCTACGGCAGTTCAAGGTGACTTCCATTTGCAGTTCAGACAAGTTTTTTGTTTAGACCCCTTCAATCTGTGTGTTTTGAACCTTCCATGTGCTGAAATGAAGATTTGTTATTTCCGCTTTTTTGGTTTTAAAGGACATCTATGACAGCTACAGGAATCAGTTTTACTTTTTCCAATGGGCGAGTTCTTGCACATGGAAGGTCAGCAACGCCACCAAGCCAGAAGCACTGCCGGTCTACGCAGCGGCTCTCGTCGTGGTCGTGGCGTACCACAAGGTGAGCCACGTGCTCAAAACACGGGCATTGATGATCCGGTTAGTAAGGGACAATCCCCTTGCCAGAAATAGCTTCGGATATCCGCCTTCTTTCTTCTTGAAGCATGGTTCTGGGTGCACAATTTCAATGCCGGGTTTTGAGTATGACTCAGGTGAACCATTTTGACTTCGCCGCGTATGCCGCCTACGCCCGGACTCGCGGAGCCGACCTGCTGGGGCTCCTCCACTTGGGCCATGAGGTGCAGTGGGAGACCAACGACCAGGCGGAGGACCTGCTCTCCTGGGGCACCAGGCGAGCGGACGGGGCGCGAGCGCGGCGGAAACGGGATCTTGCCCACTACTTCGAGGACTACAGGCAGTTCGACTTTGTGCTGCGGCAGCACTTCTCCTTGGCCTATGCGAACAGCAGCTTCCCAGTTGCCCAGTTGCGCCACTGTGTTCCGTGTTGTTTTTTTGGTTGGGCAGGGGTTCCCCTTTAAACTCAAGCAACCAGAACAAGGATGCCCGTTTTTCCCGTGGAATGGGCAAATCTGAGGCTTGTACCTTCCCTTGGGCCCTGGTTGGGGCTGGGTGCTGAAGCCTCGGCGCTTGCTCAAGGCCTCCCGGCGCACGAATCTCTGCCTCACCGCGCTGTGGAGGCCTCTGGACTTCGAGTATCACTGGGACCGGGGGGAGCTCTTGGAGCTGCTGACAAAAGACACACGCCTTTGCAACATCACGGGAAAGTGGCTGGAATGGCATTACTTCTTTTCCTTTTCTTTTTCCCCCCAGCCCTCCGGGTTCTTAGGGATGCCTTTTGTTTTTGCCTTGTGGTTGCGGTTCAGTGGTTTCCACGAAACCACGAACAGGGTATTCACTTGCAGCAGGGGGTCTGGGAGCCCAGGTGGGTGACGGCCTACGATGAGCAGCTCATGAATTCGGCGCTGTCCTTGTGTCCCTTCGGGAGCTCCCCTGAGACCTACCGACTCTGGGAATCTGTGCTCTCAGGTGCTGTTGTTCAGTGGCACCCTTTTTCCCTTTTTTTGGTGGCTGCCCCACTAAAAATGGTCTTCCCAAAAAAGGGTTCCCTTTTTTTCCCAGGGTCACTGAACAACTGAGAGGCGCTGTGGTTGTTATGACCCGGGCCACCTTCGTCACTGCGATGCGAGCGCCTTTCATCCTGCTCAACAGCTGGCACGAGCTGCCGTCACTGCTGCAGAAGCTGCGCAGTCGTCCAGATCTGTTGGACCAGCTCCAAGAGCAGCAGAGCAAATGGTTCAATGCCTACATGCAGTCGCTCCGTCACCAGCTGAAGGCACTTGGCAACTTGGTGCTGCCAAGCCTGGGCCTTTCCTCAAGAGAACCTCTCGGAAAAGGCCACGGAGCCCGGGGCGACGGTGACGCTCACCTTGTGCAAAAAAAGAATCGACCGGATCTGACCTTTTGAAATTTTGACCTTTTGGTTTTTCCCATTTTGGGTCCTCATTTTGGGTTCCCATTTTTCGTCATGGCCCCCAACAGGTGATCGCCCTATATTCCCAGGTCCCTCAGGGGCGACTGAGGACTCGGACCACGCCGCAACTGTGCTGCTCCACGAGGAGGACCAACTTCAGGCGGTCCAGCTGACAGAGCGCGACGCTCGCCGAGCGCCGGACCTCTGCGAGCAGCGTCGCGCGCGAAGCGCCGACGGCGGCAGCAGCCAGCTGAGCCAGCTGCTGACAGGGCACAAAGTCGCCATGGAACACCGCGAGTCGAGAAAAGGGGAACCTGCCAGCCAAATGGCCACGGATCACAACCTATGGCGATCCCATTTTGGGGTGGATGAACAATCCATTTGCCAAATGTTCTCCAGGGGTACAGGGTTTTGACCCACAGCCACATGAGCTCTGCTGGGTTGTATTTGCCTGGGTTGGGATGGGAGTGCCGGATTTGCAGATTGCCAGGTGCATCAACATCCTCCGGCACATGAAGGAAGCTCAAGTGGAAGCAGAGACCAGGGCGGCACGAAGCTTTGGTCGTGTTGCCGAAAGAGTTTGAAGGGTTTTGACATGCGTAGCCCAAGGGTTTAAATGTGCTCAAACGTTTTGAGGGAAACCAACTGGAAAACCACCATCCGTGTCCCATTTATTGGAATTCTCAGGGACCAAATCTCCCACCAAAGGCATTACACCCTGCTGAACTGGTAAAACCCTTGGCCTTATTTCGCTTGGATAAGGCTTTTTGAGCCCTACCCTTTTGGGGCGGGGGGTGGCGTTCACAACCTTTGGGTGCGGGTCCTCACCCACCTGAAAAGGGTACCCAGGACCACTATGTGAATTCTCACACTTCCTGAATGGCCAGAAAGAGGAAGCAAATTGTTTGTTTGCTGCTAAAATGGTCTTCCCAAAAAGTTTCAAGTCCACTCAGGGAGTGAGAATTATAATTCCCACCCACCCCACCCACCCCACCCACCCCACCCACCCTACCCACCCGCCCCACCCACCCCACCATGCAAGTCCAAGGACGACATCTCCCGCAACGCCTTGGCCTTCGCCTGTGCCTGGCCCTTGGCGCTGGACTTGGCCGCCAGCGACGCGGTGGGCCTCGGCACCAAAGTGGCCGCCTGCGAGGCGCGCCAGCCGCGGGTTCTTCGATGTGCGAGAGACGCAGGGAATGACAAATGGGATGCACAGCTTTAGGGGATTCTTGAATAAATGGAGAAAAACACAGTAAACAATGGTTCTTCTTTGGGTCAAATGGGTATGAGTCAAAATGAAACCACCAGGATATGGACCGCAGGTGAAATCGTCCATGTTTCCGTTTACCAGGGTTCCATTTTAGGTGCATATTTTTGACCCACTGCCAAATGGAATGCACCGGTTTAAGGGATTCCCGAAGAAAGGAACAACACCAGCAAGGGATGGTTCTTCTTGGGGTCATTCCATTTCCCATTCCCTGCAAGTTTTGGCCGGCTGGTCTTTGGGAAGCCCTCCAGGCGAAACAGAACCAAGCATCTAAGTAGAACCCATTGACTTTGATTGGGGGGATGTTTCGATTATGTTTATTTCCAACAGCGGGAACATGTCCAACGCGAACAGTTCCTATGGTGCCGGGGAATCATGTTCAAGAATAGTTGAGGAAACAAGGCAAATTGTTGGTAATCAAGCTGGTTACAACATATTCAGGGAAACAAGCTTGCTGGTGCTTGGCGAATGAGGGAATGCCCCAAAAAAAAAATATCCCAAAAAAATCAATCCCAAAAAAATCAATCCCAAACAAATCAATCCAACTGGTGACTCTCGGTCATTCCCTGCCTACACCAAGCAAGCAGTTTTGACCCAGGAAAACGAGCCACACACCTTCCCTAGATCCTGCTGCTTGTCACCCGTTTGCCACCCTTTTCAGTTTTGGGGAAAAAGGGAAAGCCAGAGGTTTCCTTTGACTCAATTTAGGCGGTTCATTACATGTTCACTATGTTCAGAGTGTTTCTCGAAATTGTTACTTACCCTCCAGCTAGGTGGTTTCCCGTTGCTTTCCCTTCAAAACCGTCCAAAAAGACGGGTTTGGCCGTGTTCTGCTGGTCCCCAAGAATGGGTTGCTTTGCGGGTTCTGTCTTCTGTCACAAGGCCACGGCCCAATGGCAGCTGACTCTGGAGCTCCTGAGGCGAACGAATCGGCACCCAGTTTGTATGTCGGAGGCCGTGGGTGAAAAAAATATGGTAACCCCAAAATGGAATCCTGGTAAATGGAAACATGGACCAAACCCTTGCGGTCCCCTGGCCCAAATGATTTGTTTATTGTATTTTCCATCCTGTCGATTTTGAATTCTCATGTTTTCCCAATGCGCGAACAAGCAAATGGAAGTAAAGAAATACCCTTCCTGCAACAAAGTACCTGGAAGATCCATTTCCTCTTGGAGGGACCTACTGTGTGAGAGGCCATGTCAGTGGGAGGAAGGGTAAGACATCTCAATTCGGGGGTTTACCCCCGCTAGCCACGCTAGCCCTTCATATACTCCTTTGTGATTGGCACTCTTGCTATTCAATGGAAGGGAGCGTCTGATGCCAGAGGGAGCGTCTGACAGATAGCGCCTGGTTAGAGGCTGGGCTTCAGGCAAGCCCTAAACTTGGCTTGGTTTTGTTGTGGAGAGGTCTTAAACTTAGCTTGCCTCTTGCAACAAGCCTTGAGAATCTCGTTAACGGGAGAAAGTAGTCAGCAAATGGCCCATAGCAATTGTTGCAGAAAGGGTCATTTTCTCAAAGATGCAAACAGACAAAACGAAAGAGAGCAGAGAGAGGTGTGCACGCATATACAGACCACAACTAACATGGACACAACACATAACGAGTCCCTTTTGCAACCCAATCAGTGCAGTGGGGCGGGATCTGCAAATGAGCAACCATGGGCCTCTTCTGATATTGCACACGGGCTGGCTATGCCCGAAAAGAAGCCTTGCTCACTTCATCTCGATTCCCCTTGGCAGTCCAGAGATGTCCTGAAGCCACAGTCCCCCGGTCTTCCGACAGCACAAAAGCTTGGTTTGACACTCAGCCAGCAAGTCTTCGAAATGGGCGATGGGCCAAAAGACGTGGCTTGTAAAAAAAAGAAAAGCGTGGGACATGCTCAGAAATTTGTGTGTTCAGGCTGATGTTCCAGAACCCAACCTGTGGAGGCATGGCTCTGAGAATAAAACCGCCTCGCGAGCTCTCAGAGTTTCCGTTGCTTGTTCCTTGATTTTATGGGGCTTAGAGAAGGCCCGTGGAACCCGTAACCAGGGTGCAACAAAAGGTCAACGGGGCACAACAAACTGCAAGCAAGAAAGCGGCTTGCAAGTGACAAATCTCATAGTCTGTTCGGGGAGGACTCGGGCAGTCTACCCAGACAACCCAGGCCACTGTTCTGGCAATGTTTCGGGCAATTCACATCGCGCCCTGTTCATTCAGCTATGCCCAGGGTTGCAAGTGAGCTACAAGAGCATTTGTTGGAAAAGTTCAACAGGTTTTGTGCTAACTCCTGGTTTGTTCATCTGGCCATGGGTCATAACCTATGCCTCCATTTTGGGCAGATGAACACCCATGTACCACCTATTTTGATGTTCACCACAACTACAGGGTTTTAAGTTTTGACCCACCTCTCAGATTCGCCCGGTAACTCCTGGTTTCGAATTCCAGGAGTTCGGCCCAGCGGAGGGTGCTGCCCAACCGGATCGTGTGCAATGCAGCGATCACCGCTCCTTGGTATCGCCTTGGCCCCGCTGTCCTCTCCCTGGGGGCTATTCTTTTGATTGTCTCTCCCTGGGTTCCTGAACATGAAACTTTTTGGGTAGACCACTTCAGTGGTAAGCAGAAAGTTTGGACTGTGTCTGAACCAATCCGCGGGAGATGTGAGTTATTTTTGGCTATCAAAGTCAGCAACTGGCGATGTTTCCAGTTTAACCCACCGCTTGGGGGGTTAGCTTTGATGATTGATGATGGTAAACTCATGAAGCCCGTCACTGTGGATGGACATCCACTTCGCACCAATTGGGATGGATGAAACCCGAGTTGAATAGACTAAGCCCAACTATCAACTGGGGCAGGATGTTGTCCATCCACAGTACCTTGACTGTTCTTGCCATGTTTTACTTGTTTGGTTGGTTGGTTTGTTGGTTCATTTGAGCGTCGGGCTGCAATAGTTTGTTTTTTGCCAGCACGACCGAGAGATTAATCAACGCCTAGTTGGTTGCTGGGAAGGTCTGAGTTTGCAGGGATCCTCACTTCGGGGTAATGTGCCAGGCAAATTAATCCCAGTCGATATTTTCCTGGAAAGATCAAAATATGTGCCATGAGTTTACCATTGTCCAGAGAATCGCGCATCTTCCAACTGTACGGGCTGCCATCACAGCAATCGAACACCGTCCGATATCAAATTGGTGGCAGGCTGGTGGCAAAGTATCGAGCTACCTTCAACGGGGTGGTGCCATTGTTGGCGGTCCTGCACTTTGGAAGCGCCATCGCCTCAAACTGAAGGGTTATTGGTCCGCAGCCACTGAGTGAACCAGGAAGATCCTCAACCAATTCGCCAAGTCCTCGGCCAATGTCTCGTAGATGTGTCGGTTCTTTTTTGTTCAAGAGATGTTCGATGCAGTTGCACAAATGTAGACTTCCAGCACCGAAAATAGGCGGAGTGCCATGAGAGAACGCCCCCCCTCCCCCACAGTAGGGGAGACAGAGCTAATCTTCAGGAAGCTTGTGAAATCCCTTCAAAGGTTCCTTGCGAGCCTCCCTGCTGGGTGGGGTTTCGGTTGTATTTGTTTTTACTATGTCTCGGGGTTGGCAAAGTCAGAAGCTGGTTGCTTCCCTTTAACCCACGGGGGTGACTTTGATGGTAGAAACATGGTGTCAGTAGGTTTTCACAATGGTGTTCCGGCGTTTCGCCTTCCCAAAGTTAACTGGCCTAAGACTGGCGCAAAGGGGGCACCATTGGACGAGTTTGAGTTTGAATGTCAGGAGCATTGAGTCTTAAGGTGTCAGCCAGCACCCGAAACCTTTTGTGGCCATTTTAGTAGGTGGTTCAAGTACGTGGTGTCATCAGTGTTATAGTAAGGCCGGAAGCAAGTTGACAAAGAAACAAACACAACCGCACAAACACACATCAGCATTTTAAGCAAAAGGCGCCAAGTCACTGGGGTGCTGCTCATCTAAGGGCCCCCCCCCTCCCCCGGTTTCGAGGTTTGTGGCAGCTGCAGCCGCTGGCAGCACGCGCTGGCGCTGCTGCGTGCGATGGATGGCCGCCGCCTTCGGGCCGATGCTCCGATCGGTTGGCCGTGGGAGATTAAAGGGGCTAGAAGCTATTGGGGGACCTCATACTTATGAAGACGCTTGGATTTGCAATGAAAACAACTTAAGGGACAAGAGTTTCAATACGGGTTGATTTTTCCAGCTCAGATGGCCTGCTTCCATTTGCTGGAAATCATATTGATAGTGTTTGTTTGTCCCCTTTGCTGGATGTTAAAGGGAGTCTATTGCTGATGTATGTGTTGCAACAAGCAAACAAGACCTTGTGACATTTTGATGGGGATCGATTTCACTACTGGACCTATCTTCTTTTTTGCCGGGGGGGTCCAGCAAATGGAAGCCCCGGGAGAAGGGGGGGGTAGCTGGAAAATGTGGGGACACCAAGTATCTCGGCAAATTCTATGTTTTTGTTTGTTCCAACTTCTGACCTAAGAGTTCGCAGATAGAAGTGGGTCAAACATGGAGACACTCGGGTGTTAACCCGGGGCTTGGGTTGGAGAAGCGGTCGGTGTTTAGGTTTAGACTCATTTTACAACCAGAGTTTCTCGGGTTTCCTAATTTTTTCCCCGAATTTTCTCGGGTTTCTTCTCCTCTCGGGCTGCAAGTCGTTCTGGGAGCCGAGGAGGTGGCAGACTTCAACGCCTCGATGCAGGCGCTCGGAGGTGAGGCCTGGGGCCGGTGCCTGCGGCTCTTGGAGGAGGTGCTGCAGAGAAGGCGACGCGGGAGTCAAGACGGCGGGTTCTTTGCTGGTTAGGCAGGGACCGAGAAACGGAATCTTTTTTTTTTTTTTTTAAAGGGAACCTATCACTTCTAGTGGAAACAGGTGCTTGTTGAAACGGAACGACCACGTGAAGAACTATCCCCGGGATGGTTTTTCCTTTAAGGGAATGCCCAGGTTCATTCCCAGAACCCGAAAGGTCATTCCCGACACCAGCAAGTTATGGTTGAGGGGTCCCATGGGGGACTCTTTTTGAGGATGCCCGTTTTGGAGTGGTTTGCTTAAGAACAGCTTGTATCCTCCCCTTGGTTTTAAAGGGAAAACAGGTGCTTTTTGTTTCCATGGGGAGTAAGCAAGTGGAAGTTTACATCAGGGTCCTCGAAATCCACCAAGGGCCCTCGACAGCAAAGCCAAACACCATGTCGTGGGAACACCTGCAAACTGGCGTCTCTTTTTGTCTGTGGTTTCCAAGGACCCTGTATTCGGGTGCGTCACGGTGTGTCATGCGTCTCGGGTCTTTTGCAGCAGCTAGTTTAAAGGGATACCAAAGGCAAAGCACCCATTCTTGAGTTTGCCCTATTCTCAGACAAGCCCTTGTTTCCTTGTCAAATGACTCTAATCATCGCCTTTTGGGCCAATCTGTTTGGTGTTTAAAGATAAAAGCAGGGAGCCTGTTTGACTCTGGCAGATAGGCTTGACTTCATCCTCCAGACCTCCACTCATGGAAAGGCTTGGTAGGTGTCCCTATAGCTGATTTGGTTCCATTTGGGTCGGTCATTGTTGGAGAACCCCTTAGAGGAAACCAAGCTTTAGAAAAATTGGGGGGGGGTCTCCAACCGGAAAGACACACGAATTTACCAGGGCCATCGCTTTTTCCCAAAGGGTCTATGATTTAGCCAGGCCACTTTTCGTAAGGCACGGGAATTCCCGTCTTGAACGTTCATGGTCCTGGCAGGTGATTTTGTGGCCTGCAAACAGTGGTGGTGTGGATGTCCACCAACCAGCGTGCGAAGAATCACACACAACTAGGGCAAGTGGGAATGGGACTGCGCTCCAAGCACTGAAAAGAGTCCTGGCAAGGCAACTAGTCGTCATGGTTCCATGTGGGTAAATTTGCCATGCTTGTTGGCGTTCATTTGTTCATGCATCGACCCCATCTCAGTTCCACACACGGACTTGCCTTTTTAAATGTGTCTTAAAGCGGTGAGCCCCTTGGCTGGTTCGGATGGAAACCAGAAGTTGAAGCCAACAATCAGCAGCTTCCCTCTGGGTTGTTCGGGTTGGTGGGTATCTCAAGTCAATCCTGGCACTGCCGGCCTATGGCCATGTAACTCAGCTTCCAAAGCACCAAACCACGGATTGGCTGAAACACGCCGGAAGTAACCCGATTTGAACAAATCAGCACGGCTTTCACGCTTAGGTTGCTGCCGAGCAGCGTGACACTCCAAACGGCGGTCAGCGTCTGCCAAGGCGCCTGGCTACTTGGGATCCCTTTTCACAGTCAATGAGCAGGCATGTGGATACTTGTTTTCGACACTTTTGCAGGCGCTTCAAAAAAACACATTGTCACGGGTCCGATGGCTTCTTGCCTGGGGCATTCATAGGTTTTGTCAAATGGTGCCATGCTTGGGAGGGACATTCCCTGACAACTGCCATTCTCTTTTGGCAAGGGCTTGCGTCATGTATTCCTGAGGCTGATTGTACTCCAATGCACTGGGAGGCAATGCACCCTCTACCCTGTACCGCTTGGCAATAGGGTGTGTCAATTTACTATAACCCTTTTGGAGTTGGATTGAAGGGAAACAGCGTTGTAAAGCACGCAACATAAATGTTTTACACAGGCATATGCCAACGATATGTGTCTACCATCTACAATCCCAAAAGGACACCTCTCATATCCCTTCCAGACTTGCCTAGTTCATCAGTCAGATACCCGAACAACATAAAAGGTTCCTCCTTTTCAAGACACCGCCATATACAAACGATATGTCTATACCGCTCGGGGACACCTGCTGACGCGTTTCCTAGCGTGAGAGGTTCTTGATTGGTGCTGGGTGCGGGGTGCAAGTGAGAAGACAAAAGTCGGGTCTCAATTCCATAGTTCCAGCTTAGTTGAGAAATATCTCAAGGCCCTGGTAGCCACCTTGTTTTTTGTTTTGTTTTGTTTTTTCTTTCATCTGCCATTTGTTTGCCAAGGACACCTCTCATATCCCTCCTTTGAGGCCAAGTGGGTTTTGGTACCCCCTGAGGTCCAAACCACAAGGAGTACGGTCAAGTAGAATAGCTGCCAGGAAAGGGCGTGCATAACTCGGGAGTTTGCGGCTGAAAGGCGTCCCTGACAGGGGGCCAAACGGCGACAGTTTGTAAAATCTTCAGATCGCCATTTGTCCGGGAGCAGGTTTGTCGTACGTGCTCCTGTGGCAGTTTTGTTGGAAGATTGACATTTGGTCGGGGTCTGTTGGTTTCCCGCAGGGTGAGCATCATGGGAACCCGGGATCCAGGATTCAGAAACCCTAGTTGAAGTACCCTCAAAATGTTGCTTCTGTTGAGTTTAGTATTCGGTGTTTCATTGGTATTGTGAACCTGCACAAAACCATGGCAAACGATAGGGGACTCTCAAAAACACGACACCCCTGGAAGAGGATGGAAACGCTGGAAAACGACCGGGGACTCTCAAACTAAGTAGCGAAACGGCCGCAAGGTAAGTAATTTCGACCGTGCCTCAGTTGAGTAATAGGGGGGCCTCACAATAGGGAATCCTGCACTTCAATGTATCCACAAGGTGCGGCGATCGGGGCAATGTGAATTTTCATCAGGAAGCCTTTAATGTCCACCCAAATTTGGAGGGCGTTCCCAATTAAGACCGAAGCTGCTCCGAACCCCCCCCCCCCCACCGCTCCCCGGGGGTGGTGCGTGTGGGAAGCCAGTCCCCTCCTTTGGTGTGTCTGTGTGTGTGTCCAGTTCCCGTTTGGGTGCGTCAGCTTTTTTGGGGGACCCCCCGAAAATGCTCGGGGTTCCTTTTGGTTGCCCTTTAAAACCACCCAAAATGGGGTACCAACTCCGGAAAAAAAGACGCCGAAAGGGCACCCTGTTTGCTGGTTGACTTTTCAGGGACATCTCCGACTTGAACTGTGAGTTGTTCGTTGGATGTGGCTGGTGTTTCCTTTGGTTTCCCTTGAAGCCACCGAAAAAGGGGAGCCGAGCCGCCCAAAAAGACGACAGGCGAGTGGCGGAGGGCGCTTCAGCTCGCCGAGTCTTCGTCCGCGCCTCATGGACCCCGGAGCGAAGTAGCCGTCCGATGTCTTTCATCGGCTGAGACGATGTTGTCATTGGCTTTTCCCTTGTTTGTTTTGCGTTTTGTTGCGGGATCTGAAATGTCGGAATCGATTTCACTACTGGTAAGATGTTCTCATTTTTTTCCAGGGGGGCGAATTAGCAAATGGAAGTTAGTGAGGGCGTTCCCGTCCAAAAGTGAAGAAACCCCTCTAAAATGGGACACCCCCCCCAAAAATATATATATATATATGTAGATATTAGTCTGGGTTCCCTCAGCGACTGCCCAGCATAGAAACGTGACAACTAATGAAGACGCCAAAACACACACCCGCTGCAACAAAAGCCAGGGTGGCCACGGTTAGGTTCGGTTCGGTTCGGTTTCTGAAACCTTTTGAAAACCTTTCTCCGGTTAGTGGTGGTTACTCATAACCTTCCAAAACCTGCCGGTTTGCACGGTTAATGCAGAAAAGTAAGATAAGGCTCTAGGTAACTCAGTCTGCTTTCGCCCACACTAACTTCCACATCTCTGGCATCGCCATCCATCTGACATCGCCATCCCACACCACACACACACAGACACAAACACACAAACAAACAAACGAACCATGCCACTGACTGATGCTGAGCATGTTGTTCCGCGCATGTGGCCTTGGGAAGCATCTCTGCAGTCAAAGCTCAAAAGCGCAAAAAAACAAGTCACTGACCGCTCATGGGTCACTTTTTTTGCTTGCCAATTTTCAGCGGTGTTTCGTGTGTTGCGAGCACTGCGGAAGCAAAAGTCAAAACCAGAAGCGGCCAATAATGCGGGTTTGTTGCCTTGACGCGTGCAGCGAAGGGGCCTCAGCCGCAGTGGCCTGCTAAGCGTGCCAAAAGTTCTTGCAATCAGGCTGGTGGGGCGTTGGGGAAGGGCAGGGCAGGCCCAGGCCAAGGCGGCAAGGCGCCGGGAGAGCAAGCCCTTACAGTGACAGCGGGCAACTCAGTTTTCCTCCCGTTCGGCCCGTGAGAAACTGTTCCAATCCAAGCCGGGCTGCGCAAAAAAAAACAACCCACTGACCGTGAGTAAGTTGTTGTTTTTTTCGCGCTGCTGGCGCAGCCAGGCTGCAACAGGGTGCTCAGGCAATCCTGCAGGAGCAGGGGGAGTTGGTGGTGCTCGGACATGTGGCTACTCCGCCAGTGCAGGTAAAGTTTGGGGCTTCAAATCGCCTTGCTGCCGCTTTGAACAGGATCCCGTGGCGGTGCTGTTGGCGATGCTGTCTGCGCCAAAGCCGAGCAGCTCAAGAAAACAAGTCACTGACCGCTCGTGGGCCGCTTTTCTTGCTTGCCAAATTTCAGCGGTGTTTCGTGTGTTGCGAGCACTGCGGAAGCAAACATCAGAACCAGAAGCGGCCAATAATGCGGGTTTGTTGCCTTGACGCGTGCAGCGAAGGGGCCTCAGCTGCAGTGGCCTGCTAAGCGTGCCAAAAGTTCTGGCAATCAGGCTGGCGGGGCGTTGGGGAAGGGCAGGGCAGGCCCAGGGCAAGGCACACCCAGAACAGGACCCAAGGAAAGCAAGGCGAAACAGAAAGCCTCTGCAAACACACAGGTTCCCGACAAGACCGAATGCCTGGCGCACAGCTTTTCTCATCGGTGGCATGGGGGTTCTGATGCTTCTAGAAATCATGCAGCCGCACAGGAGCTCGATGCGGCGGCGCTGGTGCGAGCGCTCGGCCTCAAGCAGCGCGTCTTCGCGAGGCCGCTTGGCGGGAGGCCGCTGGGCCATCTGAGCAGCCGCAAGGCAGGGATCGTCCGCCCACGCGGTGGGCTTTTCCAGAAGCCATGCCTGCACGCATCGGAAGGCCGCCGAGGAAGTCGATCATCTTGAGCAGCTGCGGCGGTTTTTTTTTGATCAAGCATGTGGGACCATTCGAGGATTCGGCGGGCTTTTTGTTCTATTCAGTGCGTTCGCCTGCGAAGATTTCTGTTCTCTTCCTCGAGGATCTCGACGCGGCGCTCCAGCGCCTCACGGCGGCGAGTCTCGCGGTTGGCCTCCCCCTCAAGCTGAGCAGCCCGCTCCCGCGCCATCTGCAGTTCCGCCAGATATCGCTCACAGCGTTCGCAGAGCTGCTCCAGCACCCCGAGGAGAGTCCCACCGCGCGCAGCTTCGCCGATGAGATCCTCTTCAAGGTACTCGATGCGGAGTCGGTAGTACAGACGCTCGGCCTGGAGCAGCGCATCCTCGCGAGCCCGCGCGGGAGGCCGCTGGGCCATCAGAGCGGCCGCAAGGTTGGCGACGTCCTCCTCCGCCCACACGGCGGGCTTCTCCAAAAGCCATGCCTGCACGCATCGGAAGGCCGCCGAGGAAGTCATCTTGAGCAGCTGCGGCGGATCGAATCATTAAGGCAAGAAAACGAGAGCTCGGGATCTTTTTTTTTTTTCTCGCGCGTCCTTAAGCTCATCTGTGCGCCTGTGCGAGGATCTCGCCGAGGTGCGCCACCCGCTGGCGCAAAAATTCTGTTGCTGCGCTCCAGCTCTTCAACGCGCTCCCTAGCTCGCTCGTGCTCTCTGTCGATGAGATTGTTGAGGCCGTCCACCCGCCGGCGGAGATGTCTGCTCGCGCTCCCGCTCCACACGGCACAGAGTTTCGCCGAGGAGCTCCCAATCGAGCTGCGAGATGAGATGCCGCTGGCGCGAGCGCTCGGCCTCAAGCAGCGCGTCCTCGCGAGGCCGCTTGCGCTGCATGTCGCAGGGAGGCCGCTGGGCCATCAGAGCAGCCGCAAGGCAGGGAGCGTCCTCGTCCGCCCACGCGGCGGGCTTCTTCAGAAGCCATGCCTGCACGCACCGGAAGGCCGCTGAGGAAGTCATCTTGAGCAGCTGCGGCGGATCGAATAAGCATTATCGAGAAAGCGAGAAAGCGAGAAGGCGAGAAAACGAGAGCTCGCCGACAGTCTACGGGGGCCCCACAAGGAACTCCATCACGAGGTCGAAGGGCGCGGAGCCTGGCGGAGCGTAAGCGCCCAGCATCCGCAGCTGCTCCAGGTTGCGCCAGTGTCCCAGCGGCCGCGAGTTGTGAGCGTCGAGGCCGTAGACCTTGTCGTTGAAGGGCGAGAGCGACTTCTTCTCAACGGTCTCCACGGCAATCTCGTGCGCGCGGCTGCGCAGCTGCGCGAAGGCTGCCCTGCGCTTGCTGCCTTCCTCCAGCACCTCCCGGTACTCGAGATGCCGGACGTTGGTCACCGCCTTCTTCGGCACGCCCTTGATCTTGCGCTTCTCCTTGCGCGCGCCGTCGGGCTGGACCGTGAGGATGCTGTACATCTGGAGCGCAGGCCCACGTACTCCAGGATCCTGGCGGGGAAGGTCTTGTCGCCGAGCTTGCCCAGCTGGCCCATCACCTCGATGGCCTTGGCGCGCGCCGCTGCCGAGAGCGCGCTCAGGTCTTTCTCGGGGTCCTTGGACTTGCCGGCCACGTCGAAGAGGCGGCGCCGGTTCAGGTTCGCCTGGCCATGGCGTGGACGGGTCCTGCAGCTCGAAGATCTGCACCATCACGGAGTCGGTGTCCGTGAAGAGCAGCCTTATGTTTGGGAAGAGCCTCCTCATGTGGAGGTAGTAGGCCTTCTCCATCATGAGCTTGGAGAGCTGCAGCGTGCGGGCGCCGACTTGGGTGGGCACGCTCATGCAGGCCTTGCTGCGTCCGTCTTAAGCGTCTCCACGAAGGCCAGGAACCCCTCCGAGTCGTTGATCTGGAGCTTGAAGTTTGTCACGGAGCTCTTGCCCACGGCCCGCTTGAACTCGGGCCACGTAGGCGTTCGTGTTCCTGAACTTGTCGGGGTTTATGCAGCAGCGGCCGAAGATGGCGTTCTGGGTGAGCTTCACCACCTTCTCGGCGACCACGCTCCCCACCGTCTTGAGCTGCCTCCGCTCGCTGCGCTTGAGCTCCATAAACTGCAGGCGAAGCGGTAGGCCCTGTGCAGCCTCCAGACCCTGGCGCCCAGCACGTCCCGCAGGAACTTAAGCCGCTTGCCCTCTCTCTGTAGAGGGGGTTTCCAAAATGGTTTATATTCTACCTGAGAGGCTCCTGACACTCGTCCGTCCAGCATTTGACCTCGTCCTGCGAAGGATTCGAAGTCTAAAACGCTGCGTGCAGGCGTGAGGCTGCAAAATAGAGACCCCTAGATATGCTTGCAATTTGGCTCCAGGTTGCATTTCAAGCGAGCCAACCTTTGCAGGGCTAAGAAAAACAAAAAAAAAGAAAACAAGGGGTCCCAAAAAAAGGGGTCCCCGAAAAAAAGGGAAAAGGGGTTTCCTTTGGCAAAGCTTGACATCGCTTGAAATGCAACCTGGAGCCAAATTGCAGCGCATATCTAGGGGTCTCTATTTTGCAGCCTCACGCCTGCACGCAGCGTTTTAGACTTCGAATCCTTCGCAGGACGAGGTCAAATGCTGGACGGACGAGTGTCAGGAGCCTCTCAGGTAGAATATAAACCATTTGGGAAACCCCCTCTACAGAGAGAGATACCGGGAATGCAGGGATTCCCTGGAGAAACCCTGCATTGAACTCCCCCAAAGTTTGATTCAAGAGCTTCAACACAAGTGCCAACACAAGTGCCATTTGTGCCATTTGTGTTCACATTCCTGCCGCGCCAAGCCGCGGAACCTCCACTCTCCCCGGGTTCCTTGCTATACGCGCTTAATTGCTTCAACATGTCGGATTACATGTCGGATGAACATGTTCTTGGCACTCCGGGTGCGCCACCCTGCCGCGCCAAGCCGCTGCCCGGCATGTGATAGCCGCGCCAAGCCGCTGAACCTCCACTCTCCCCCCCTTGCTATATGTGCTATATGTGCTATATCTTACACGCCAAGCCGCTGAACCCCCACTCTCCCCCGGGTCCTTGCTATATGTGCTATATGTGCTATATATTCTGTACGCGCGAAATCTGTACTATATGTGCTATACAGGGCCATATAGCACATATAGCACATATAGCAAGGAACCCGGGGAGAGTGGATGTTCAGTGGCTTGCCTTGTGAGATATAGCACATATAGCACATATAGCAAGGACCCGGGGGAGAGTGGATGTTCAGTGGCTTGCCTTGTGAGATATAGCACATATAGCACATATAGCAAGGACCCGGGGGAGAGTGGATGTTCAGTCGCTTGCCTTGTGAGATATAGCACATATAGCACGTATAGCAAGGAGCCCGGGGACTGTGAGGTTGGTGCCTGCCTGGCATAGCCTCCCGGCCGCGCCACCTGCCCGGCATCGGAGCCTGCAGCCTGCCAAGCCCGCGCCAAGGTCGGGATTCTTCCCAGGAAAAAAATTCCAGTCCTCGTGTGGGGGGAGGACTGCAGCACGCTTTTTTTTTGCCAATCGGCAAGGCGCCGGGAGAGCAAGCCCTTACAGTGACAGCGGGCAACTCAGTTTTCCTCCCGTTCGGCCCGTGAGAAACTGTTCCAATCCAAGCCGGGCTGCGCAAAAAAAACCAACCCACTGACCGTCAGTAAGTTGTTGTTTTTTTCGCGCTGCTGGCGCAGCCAGGCTGCAACAGGGTGCTCAGGCAATCCTGCAGGAGCAGGGGGAGTTGGTGAGACAGGTTGGTGCTCGGACATGTGGCTACTCCGCCAGTGCAGGTAAAGTTTGGGGCTTCAAATCCCCTTGCTGCCGCTTTGAACAGGATCCCGTGGCGGTGCTGTTGGCGATGCTGTCTGCGCCAAAGCCGAGCAGCTCAAGAAAACAAGTCACTGACCGCTCGTGGGCCGCTTTTCTTGCTTGCCAAATTTCAGCAGTGTTTCGTGTGTTGCGAGCACTGCGGAAGCAAAAGTCAAAACCAGAAGCGGCCAATAATGCTTGACGCGTGCAGCGAAGGGGCCTCAGCTGCAGTGGCCTGCTAAGCGTGCAATCAGGCTGGCGGGGCGTTGGGGGAAGGGCAGGGCAGGCCCAGGGCAAGGCGGCAAGGCGCCGGGAGAGCAAGCCCTTACAGTGACAGGCAACTTTTTTCGCGCTGCTGGGGCAGCCAGGCTGCAACAGGGCGCTCCGGCAATCCAGCGGAACCAGGGGGAGTTGGTGAGACAGGTTGGGGCTCGGACACGTAGCTATTCCGGCAGTGCAAGCAAAGTTTGCGGGTTCAATTCCCCTTGCTGCCGCTTTGAACGGGATCCCGTGGCGGTGCTGTCTGCGCCAAAGCCGAGCAGCTCAAAAAAGCAAGTCGCTGACCGCTCGTGGGCCGCTTTTTTTGCTTGCCAAATTTCAGCGGTGTTTCGTGTGTTGCGAGCACTGCGGAAGCAAAAATCACAGAAGCGGCCAATAATGCGGGTTTGTTGCTTTGACCCTTGCTGCCCTGCAAACCTGGGGACGGTTCGGTTTCTGTTCGGTTCGGTTCGGTTTGTGGTTTGTGTCCGGTTTTCTTGCGGTTTTGAAAACCGATTCGGTTAACCGGTTTCCGGTTCGGTTGTCAACCTTCCTGAAAAGCCTTTGAAATACACAAAGCAGCTTTAACCTTTGCACAGTCTTGGATACATGTGAGTTGTTCCACGCCACAAACCAACAAGTTGTCGCCTTTACATTGAGAACTTGCCGGGGTAATATGTGAAATCCAGCTGTTAGTGATGCGTTTTTCTCCCACACGATTGGACACATTTGGCTGTCGGTACATGATAGCTGTGGACTTATCAGGTGATTTTTCATGTGGCCTTGATCAAGGCTTTGGTAATGGATTTGCGTCCTTGGGTTTACTTGGTTTTCTTCCCCAGCTGAAAGCGACAAGGTGTCAAAAGGCCCAAGATAGGCGAGGGGTGGTTTGGGGCATAAAGATTCGGGTCCAGGGGATTCCCGTTGGGGACACCTGGGCTTATTTCAAGGCCCTTCAAGCCCGTCGCGAACTTTTCGGGCACCGCAGCCCCCTCCCTACCTCCCCCCGCCCCCCGCCCACCTCCTACCTGCCACTTCCCCCCGCCTCCCCCCCCACCTCCCACTTCCCCCCACCCCCCCACCTCAGTTGACCCAACTGGACGAGAACCTGCGCTTGCCGAGGCCGTTCCCATCAGCCAGCGCTCCCAGCGAAGCCCCGTGGCCGTGGCAGCTGGCGATGCGACTTGGTCCAGGTCAGCCTATTTTACAGCGAGCACCTGGGGTTTTTTGACGAGCTCACCACAAGGGTTCTTTACTTGGGGATCCCTTAATTTAGGTTTTGGAATTAGAGTGAAAGTTGCGGATAGATCCAACACCCCCCCTGAGCCACGTCTGCAACACCGGAAGATGAAGCTTATGGGTGCGGCCGCCTTGGTAATCCTTGAAGCATGGTGGGTAGACCATTTTCATTCCGGGTTTTGATTGTGACTCGGATCCTCTAAACAAGTAAAACATATTGTCTAAGTGCGCAGCAAAGTTCCATTGATTGACCCCAAGGTAGACTTAAACCCACCCAAAAAGGGACACCTCCAAGTTCCAGTCTACTTGGTTCAAAACCGGAACCCTCCTAGGGCCGTTTTTCGCTTCGGAGCGGACCCCTGGAGCTCAGCGGCTTCCACCTTCCTTTTGGTCCATGGGGCTTGCCCGCTCCCTGGGGATCTCCAGCTGGACATGGGGCGCTTGCCATCCATCCATCCGAGCGAGCCCCAGACCTAGAGTTGAGATCCCAAATGGCAAGGTGGACATGACCTATGTCCAGAGGGTCCCTTACAGAGCAAACACCCCGGAAAAAGCCGCCCAGGCGTGTCTGTCTTTTGCTCGAGACGAGTGATGATTTCCCCCACCCTGTTGGTTTTGAAGGGAACCTATCGCGACTGGAAAAGTCGTCGCCGTTGAAAATCAGACCGAGCCAACTGGTTGTGGGCCCCAAGAAGGCCACTGGGCCCAGAGAGGATCGGTGTGAGCCAGACGCCCGGATCGGAGAAATGTATTCCTAACAGTGCAGCTTTCCTCTTGGGTCAAGAGTGTGGCTTGAAGGGGGGCTTTACATGGGGCTTGCCAACGGACTGCTGCAGCCTTGACCAAACTCAACATTCCGCCTTTTGGACGACATTTGAGCCCCCACTCCTGCGGGCTCAAGTTGGGCCAAGGCTGGATGAAATGCGTGCTGGAGCTGGCCAGGAGAGCGAAAGGGTCAATTGGTCACATGTGAAAGAAAGGAACAAATGCCCCCATTTCAACGAGAGGTAGGGGATGGAATTGATTCTCAGACAGTTTGGTGGCAGTTTGCGAGTTTTTGTTGTTGTTGTGAGAGGTCGCTTTTCTAGCTGAGAACCACCTTAAGTTCCAGTCTTCCCCTTGGCTTCAACCAGAACCCGGGCACCAACTCCTGGGTTCCAACCAACTCCCCCAGCCGAGTCGCCGCGCGACTCGGTGAAGGAGCTGGGCCCGGCGCGGCGCAGCGCCTTCGCCAAGAGCTGGCGGCGTGCAGTGGCCTCGCTGCAGGCGCTGGCGCGGGGGGAGGCGAAAAGCGAATCGAGGGATCTGACTTTCTGGGGTTTCTCTTTGGCCTTGAAAGGTGATCAGCTTTTATTTCTGGGTGTTTTTTTTGGGGCAAGTGACGTTGGCTTGGGTTCAGGTGTTCCTCCGGAGGGAAATTGCACAGAGTTGGGCATTGGGCTTGCTTCGGCTTAAGCGCTTGTTTAGGGTAAAGGTGGTGCCCAAAAGTCTCCCGCGGGTTCCGAGGCATTTCCCTTTGAAGGGAACCTCGAAAAGTGAAAATGGGTTCAATGGAAACCAAAAGGAACCACAGGTGTCCTTTGATCGGTTTGTTTGGTTGAGAACATGGGATCCACTGGGTTCCCATTGACTTTTTGCTGGGCTGGTTGCTGAGGGTTTCTGAGCCATTTCCCGTTAAAGGGAACCTCCATAAGCGGCGATCGGTTAAATGGGAGCAATCCGAATATGTCAACCGTTGAAGGAGAGTCAAGTGACCCTTTCTCCTTCCAATCATCCCGGTTCCAGCACCCGGTCCCAACGAGTGCTTGTTTTTTTCCCCAACATGTGTTTTTACATAGGAGAAAGCCGTTTGTGTGGAAGGTTTCCCTTCCAAAATGGGTCTGAGTCCCCCAAATGTGTGTGTGTGTGTGTTTTGAGATGGAGGTGGACGTCTTGGGGTTTTAGGTAAGAGGAAAGTAGAATTGCAAAACCCTCCAGTCGTCAGCGTTGGGAGGGTAGAGGCCTTGTTCATCCTTGTTTGCTGTGACTGCCATTCTCAGCCAAGAGAGAGGCCAAAAAATAACAAGTAGCCGCGGGAAATGCCAAAGTACATATGGGAGCACAAAGTCAAACATCGTTTTCGCAAAAAGGACACCAAATGGGGATGGAAGAATGTGTCTAGTTTGTACCCCCCGCCCCCCGTTGGCACTGTCACATCTGTTTCAGGTGTTCTTTTGAGACTTTGAACACAACTTCTTAGAAGCTGGCTTAGTTACCTTGTTCAACGTGACGTGAGCCCGAAGGCCCTGGCTTTTACACAGGGGGGATGAACACTTGGACAAATTAGAAGCAATCATCTGAGCTTTTGGACTGACAGATGGTGAAAGCATCAGTTGCCCCAGACTCGAATCGCCTTGTTTACAGGGGAAAGCAGAGGTGAACAGACCGTTTTTCCAACACCCAGGTGAACAAGCCAAATTGAGAACATCCCTCTTGCCGCAGATTCAACTACCGGGCTATCCACATCCTTTGCAAGGCGGCAAGGGGCTTGCTCAACAAACCGATGTTGGCATAAGATCCTTGGAGCAAAGTTGGCCCAGTGTCGCCGGTGCGGTTCTCCGTGCCAGGGAGAGACCACCGTGGGCTTCAACGCAGCACTGGCCGCCTGCAGGCAGCGAGGCAAGTGGCAGGCTTGACGAATCGACCGGGGCAGAGTTTTTTTTTGGGCGGTTCGAGGAAAGCAACGCGCGAAACTGAGACCCTGGACCTAAGCCTGATGATAACAACGCGCGAAACTGAGACCCTGGACCTAAGCCTGATGATAACAATGTCCTATGTCATTATGTCCCCTCCCCCCCCACCTGAGTCAGGGTTGAAGACAAAGTTATGCCTGGCCAACCATCCACGAGCGATACTCGGGGGTTGATCAATATTCCTGGCCTCCAAATGACCATGGGTAACGTGTCCCATTTACTGTAGTGGGACATATAGGTCTTTTGTGCGTGGTTTCTCCAACCTATGGTCCCATGTTAAGCATTTGATCAACCCCGTGTGATGTTTGCAGAAGGGGGGCCAAAAAGGGTATGCGCAATTTCAGAGTCCAGTTTAGTGGATCTTTCGCTGGCAATTCAAAGCGTTTTGTTTCGGGACCCGAAAATGGGGGCCCCCAAAAGGGCTCCAATGATTTTGTACCAGGGTCACTGCGCAACTGGAAGAGGGAAACCGTCCACATGAACATGACTTGACACCCGGAAGCCACAGATACCCTCTCACCAATTGACCTGGAACCTGACGAAGGGCCCTTTACAAGGAAAATGGTCGTCCAGGACCCCCCCTGTCAGGTTCCATGTTAATTGGTGGGAGGGTAAATGGAGAACCAGACCAAATGTGGACTCCACATAAACATGGGGAAGCCATGCGGAAGATAGGCCATGCGGAAGATGGACACCATCCTTGTTTGGGTTCCGACGGCAAACCGCGGCAGAGCACCAGCAACTTCTGGTCTTCACTTTGCTCCCTTGTTCAGTTTCCAAGCTTGACTCCCTTCCTGAATTACTGGACATTATTCTTTTTGGGATGACCATCTTAGCGGCAAAAAAGCAGTTTGGACTGCTTTGGGCCACCCACTCGCGAAGTGAGTTGAACTCGCCTGTGAGTAAGTGTCAAACATAGTATTGCCCCCCCCCCCCCCGGAAAACTTCCCTGAACACACCAGAGTTTGTTTGGGCAGAGACCCCTCAGCTCAATCAGCTGGGAAAAATAGGTTTCATTTTGGCCTGCCTTCAAGCCACCTTAAAGGGATCCGTTGAGTCGCCTGGCCCTTTTTTGGACCTCAAATGGGCCTGGCGGCTTGAGTTGTAATTGGCAGAGTTTTCCTTTTTGGTGAGATGTGTAAACAGGAAGTTTGAAAAAGGTCTGCTTGTGAATCTGAAGTCTTCTTTCCACGACATGCACACCAACATATCTTTAAAGTAGTGTCAACTTCGGATTAATTTGGAGGACTACAGTCACTGGAACCCCGGCCCTCGTCACAGGGAATTCATTCGTCAAAGCGGCCAAGTTTTCACGGAACGACGCCTCAGGTCGGATGTTTTCTTGGAGCCCTGATGTTTGTGCGTCCTTTTTTGCCCGGGCATTTGTCCTCGTTGGACCCACCCCCCCACCCCACCGTGTTTGGCCAAAATGAACAAACACATGTTGGTGGTAATTTATCTACGAATCCATCCACTGTCAGTGGGTGGGCGCAGAGTCATTCGGTCCACGGCCTCCTTTCCTTTTAAGGGGCACGTGTTCTTTTCAGATGTCTTTGTGTCGTTTGGTCCCTCCCATTTTTTTGATTTAAAGCTTTCTTCCTTAGACAAAGATGGATATGACCAAAGTGGTAGACGCAGGGCCCACGTTTCACCCGAAAAAAGTTCGACTCCGTGGGACCCACGACGGCAGCTGCAGCTTCACGGCCTCCGATTCCGCAGGCGGGGCTGCAGCTCTTCAACGCCATGCGCTGCGTGGCTTTGGAGCCCTCCGAGCCTCGGCGGCGACAAGACTTCCACAGCGAGGGGTTCAAAACCTTGGAAAGCCAAAACCCAGCTGCCCAGTGGTGCCCTTTTGTTCGTTTTTTTTGGGAATTAAAATAACCAAAAAAGGATACCTCTTGTGGCCCCATGGCCACTGGGCATCTGAGGAAAGAACCTAAGGACTATCTGATGTTTTAATCATTCAGCCACAAATAGGTGTATCAGTTCACCATCGTATCATTTTGTGATGGCTTCTCGGATGTTGTGTTATTTTATCTAACTCAAACATGTGTATAGATATATATATATACTGCTATTGCTACTACTGCTACTGCTGCTGCTACTGCTACTGCTACTACTACTACTACTACTACTACTACTACTACTACTACTACTTCTTCTAGGCATGGCTCCCGCAGCCAGTCTGAAACAGTCTGAAGCCACACAAAAGCAGGGCACGCCGGCCCTGCCAATTGGTCAGGCTTTGCCTGCTCCACGGAGGCTGTCAGAGCTTTTGCCGGCCTTTATCTGTGCTCCCAAGTAATGCCCACTAATTTGACCAAGCGCCCGCGTTGTGGCCAGGACTTGTTTGTATAAAGCCTGCCTGGCATGCAGAAGAGTGTCTTGAATAGGTCTGAAACACTCCAATTTGTAATGCCCACGGGCTATTCCTGAACAGTTGATTGGTTGGTGGGCTGGTTGGTTGGTGACTTGGTTTGCGCTTGTTTGCAAAAAGCCGGGGGAGACGTTTTTCAAATACCGGCGCCAAGCAGTGTTTAAATCCTGAAAGATAGGCAAAGCACCCGCATTGCACTGACTACTGGTTAGCATGAAGCCCACCCTGCGTGACTAGAGGTGTCTGAAACCTTCCAGCTTCGAGCGCCTACAACGTGTTCCTGACCTGAAGGGCATTGCTTTGTCGCAGGTTTCGCCAGGAGGTTGTACTCTCTTCGAACGTACCTTTCGTGGCCCGAGCCTTTTGGTACAGCTTAAAAGCCACATTCAGGACAATTTCCCATGTGTTTCGTACACGAAGATGACGGCATAAGCAAAAACACGCGTAGGCGCAAGGAGGCGCAAGGGCTGGCGCAAGGGATCCTAAAAGGAAGCCGTGGAACAAGAATTTTCGACAACCCCCCCCCCCCCCCATATATATATATATATACATATATTTGTCTGCAACTTGACCCTTTACTAGAATTCGACTGCAGGGATATCAAATCCTTGGGCTGATCAGTGAGAACACGCGTGGCGGAGGTCGATCTTTCTGTATGGGCGTGAGATGTCGGTCTTGCTGGGCTGTGCACACAATCTTATGTTGTTGGGATTCGTTCATTGATCTACGAAACTAGGCATAGTAAATTTCACAAGAAAGCCTTGCTTTGGCTTGGCAATTTCCCCGGAGAAATTTCTCGAGCTACCTTTCAGCAGTTGGTAGGGAACCTTGTTTGAAATGATGAACCGGGTCCAGCGCACTTCTGCATTGCCAGGGCACCTTGTGTGCTCATTCGGGTTGCTTCTGCAGCCTTCTTGTTCAGAGCCCAGCCACAGCGAACTCGAGGGTAGTCAGGGCTTCCCCTCCTGTCTAACATGGAACCATAGGGTCCAGTGTTCACGGAAAAATGTTTTAGGACCAGGGATGTTCCATGGCAACGTGGAGCAACCTCCCAGCCCGACGCTTCCATAAACCGAGTCCCAACTGGTGTCCACGACTCTTGGATGGACTCCCCGAATGGGACTCCCCTGGAAGAGGGCCAAAGGAGATCCCCAGCTTCAGGGTTCCGACTGGCTCTATTTAAGCTAAAGCGCCCATCTGATTGTTGGTTTCCCAAAGGGGACGCATCATCTGTTGGCGAAAGAAAAACAACGCGCGGCCAGGGTTTCGGCGAAAAACCAAAGACTGGTCTTCAAAGAGGACCGGTTGAGAGCGCCAAAGCGTTGTCATTCATTCAACCTTAGTCCCCGCCCAAAAAGGTCTCCTCAAAACTAATTGCGTGTGTTGTATTTTAGGACCCGGACAAAAACTGGTGGTGTCCTTTTGTCTTCCCTTAAAACCACCACAAAGGGGTACCCTGAAAGAGAACCAGCCACTTGGAGTGAAGAAAAAGCTGTTAAATCAGCTCCTCTTGATGGCTGGGTGGTCTTGCCAAATGGCTACAATTCTTAATTTCAGTACGAACTCCAAAAGATGCCAAAGGGGGGATATGTTCCTTGGACCCTATGGATATTTGATGTTAACTATGGATACAGTGCCTCTGTCGATATTTGCTGGTTGGTTTTCCAGGCCTTCTTTTTGACACCCTAGGACATCACCTTCCTTACCGCCATCAGCATTTGCGAAGCTGCCCCGCACATCAGCCGAGCCCTCAGAGTTGACCGTGCGCCCGTAGCTCGAGCTGCTTCTCCGATGTGATTGTTTCTCTTGTTTGGGTCATTGTTAATTTTATGTTTTTTCCTCATTTTTTTTTTTTGGGGGGGGGTTACATGGTTTTTGTAGCTCGTCAAAGGAAGTTTAGAAGACCCTTGCGTAGTACGCGAACTAATTGGCAGGCCGCTTGCTCAGATAGATAGCTTACAAAAGATCAGATAGCACAAATGCACAATTGCAAGTGAGACAACCAAGCATCACGTGTCCATGACCAACTCAAGGCCGAGTGAGATGGCCAGGGCAAAAGTGCAAGCTTCAAGATAGTCCTTTGCAGTTGCTGCTTTCTTTATCATGCTTACAAACAGCTTCAAGCTTGTTTGGTCGGTCAACTCAGCATGCCATTCCTTTCTTTGACTTGTTGCAGCAATGAGATGTTCGCCCCAGCCACGCGGTCAAGGAGTAAGAATTCCACCCCCCCCCCCCCCCCGTGGCGACGTGCTTGCCCTTTGTGTTTTGCGTGTTTCTGCAGACGCGGGCGAGGGTCCCGTTGAGAAGAAGACCTACTCGGTCCGAGAGTCAGCCAAGTCTTCAATCCACCTACTCTCCTGCAGCTTCACATGGACCCCAACAAAAGCGCATTCGTGGAGGAATCTCCTTTTGTTTTGGGTTTCATGTTAATCAGGGGAGTAAGCCCAGATTCAGTACCTCCCGACTTGTGAGCCCAAATTGCCAAGCATGTAGCTACAGCCCCAGCTGGCCCAATTCCTTTCAACCCGCCCCCCCCCCCCAAAAAAAAAAAGGGGCAGCTCAAGAAGACGAGGCACCCGAAACGAATTGCTTCCCTTGAACCCTTCGCAGCCCTCGCACCGAGGCGACCAATGGCCCACGGCCCTGGAGTTCCTTAGCTTCCGCACCGAACGCTTCGGCACGGCCGACTCCGGTGCTTTCAACAGCGCCCCGGGTGCAGGGCGCGGATGTCTGCCTACGCCATTCAATGTGTTTCCCATTAGCCGAGGAAGGGCGTCACGTTTAGAGAATCCTTCAGTGTTTAGGGGGGACACATCCATATATCGCATGTACTAGGTTTTTTGAACCGATACCCTTTGCAGTTTGTTTTTACCGCGTAATCATTTGTCTCCAGTTTTGATTGAACTCCACAAATGATTTGTTGCTCATTTGCCTTCTATGCAGGAAACAGTGGCTTGGTTCCTTTTCAGGGTTGCGGGATCACTCGGGGGGTTATCCAACCACTTCTGTGATACCTTTCGGAATCCCCTCTTTTCGTATTGGTGGTTAGTCTTCGGGAGGCCCTTTTTGTGATATCTCATAAGTGGATTCCATTTCAACCACAGCCCTGTTCCTTTTTCTTCTTTGGAGGGGTTGTCCTCTTGTCACAAAAAAGCAGGTGCCCGCTTTTCCTCGGGCCACTTAGGGTTTGGGATTGATTCCTGTCGCATTCGAAAAAACATGGACATGTCTGAAGCAATACCCCAGCAATACCCCAAGCTCGGTGGTTTCCCTTCCCCTTCTGCAATGCTCAAAACAAATCCTGCATTTGTCATTCCAGGTTTTCCCAGTCAAAACTCTTATGTTTGTCGACACGGGGCAGGGAGTGTATCTGTATGGTTGTTTTCGCGCAAGCTACTGGCAGATACTGCCCCACAGCTTATCAAAGCGTTTGTTTCGCCTCCGCAGCTCCAAACTCAACCGGAACATGCTCGCACTCAATCGAGACACATTGCGTACTACATACATGAACAGGTGACATGTTCCATCGGCGTTATGAAAGTGAAATTGAACAAGGGCACTGCCTTTTTGTTGTGAAGTGCGTTCAAAGGGATCCCGTTTTGGGGTACCCAAGTTTTAGACATACTCACGTGTGAAGGTGGCACTGAACAACTTGGCCTCAACTTCAAGAATCATGCGTAATCTGCAGCATTGCTTTGCGTGCAGTCAAGACACCCTTTCACTTGAGCCCGGGAAGATGAAGGTTAGTAAGGGGCAGTCCCAGCCAGAAATAGTTGCGGCCGCCTTCTTAATCTTTACATGGTTCTGGGTAGACCATTTTTAAACCGGGTTTTGATTGTGCCTCACTTGAGGTTTGGGCTGGGGACAAACTCCTGCACCAGGTAGTTGGTTTACAGTTCATCCATCCGAATGGGCCTGCCAAGGTGCCATTAACGCATGCGAGAAAGCGGGCAAGGGCCTCAGGAACAGACATGCGAGCCTGGGTTTGAGTGATTCTCAACAATGCCCCCCCCTCCAGATGTCTGATGTGTTTTTGGTTTCTTTTGAAACAACCAAAAGGTTGCACACCCTGCAGATGATTCTCTCTTTCCTTGGTTTCAAAGGCGGATGGCATCTTTGGGTTTGGTCATCTCACCCCCTGAGTTCAAAGTTGTTGGTAAGACCATTTTGGATGGAAACAAAGAGTTTAGACTTGTTTGGGCCAACCTGATCAGGAAGTGAGTCATTCTGCAACTGCTTTCACCTTTTGGGGAAACCAGCCAATTTCAGAGCCCCCTATTTGTGGACTGAAATGACCAAAGCGAAGTGCGGCCATCCAACAACCTTGTGGACGGCTGTTCCTGCCGCCAAGTAGCAATACCCTCCCCCCTTTTCACATGGAACCTGATGTTTGGGGCGGTTCCTGGATTGGACCATTTTCCTCTTACAGAGACCGAGTCCTGAACATCAGGTTCCAAGTTCAGGTTGTTTTGCGGGTCAAGGAGGTTGCGCTTCTTGACTGTGTGGGGCTCATGTGGGGTTGCAGCTCGTGGTGAATCTCTTCCAGAGTCCGCGGCAGTCAAAGCTTCGTTCCGTGTTCAAACGTGGGCTTGCCAGCTTCAGTACATTGACGCAGACAAGCGCTAGCTTTTTTTTGGGTTCTAGCTGGCATTGTCCGTTACATATTGGTGTGTATTCTTGTTGAGAGTACCCTTTTTGCATTGGTGCAAATGGAAACAATCTCAGGTTCTTGAGGGAAACAATGGCATATTCCGGATGTTTGAGCTTGTGAGTTTGCATACCTTGGTTCTTTGCGTGGGAGGATTGCTAAGGGCCCAGGGCCAACACACCAAATACTCTGAACGAAGCAACTTCAAATGGGCTTGTTTTTTTTTGAGACTACACTTGTTTGGCTGCTGAAGACACGCCAAGCGGAGCCCACTAATTTTGGAGGTCCGGTTTGACACAAGCCCACTCTCCAGCCAGCCTTGCGATGGCTTGACACTATTGCATCGAGCAGACGGTTGCATTTTGGGCATGTGTCAGAACATGTCAAACGAGAAAAGAAGCAATTGATTGAAGAAGTCCCAAAAGTAACTTGAGCCCGTCAACATGTGAGCTCGTTTTCGAGGCTCAGTTCCCTTTCTGGGCGTTTGCTAAGAGGAAAGCCACACCACTATGTTGGGGGGCGGGGGGCGGGGACCCAACCCTAATAGACCCCATTAGTCGCTCTTACCCCCTATTGGATTGGGGGCCTCTATTGGAGAATCGGCCCTTGACCATAGGAAGCTAGAGGGGGAACACCCCACGTTCGAACCAAGCGCCCCCAGTCCCCGTTTTTTGCGGCGTGCGGCGCTGCCTCTGCTCGAAGCTAAGGCCAGTGGCAGGCGGCCCTTTGGCTTTTGGCATCCATGGAGGCAGCGCGGCTCGCGGACGAGATCAGCCGCTCGGACCAGGCCACGGCTCAGCGATCCTGAAAATGTCTCCCTATCTTGGGGTACGCAAAAAATGGCGCCCCTAGTGACTTAGCGCGTTTTTTTTTTCTCCAAGGATGAGGATGAACATGAACAACTTTTTGAACCGACTCGGTGGTGTGGAGGGCAACACTTTTCAACGCGCAGCAAGATCCGCGGATGGATCCGAGGTTACAACGCTGGCATCAGCGCGTGCTCCAAGGCCGGAGCGGCAGCGGCAGCGGCCACTTCCGGTTTTGTGTGTTTTTTGAGCTGAAACCCAGGGCAGTCCGAAAAATTCTCAGAAAGTGTCAGCCCCAGGGTCAGCACAATTATTTTTCATCTGGTTCCTAACCCTAAACCCTGGGGTCCGATTTTTTTCAGCTTCATGGGTCATAGCCCCAAAGTTAAGGGCTGAAAGTTGTTTTTGTCCCATGCCCGGGGATTGCTCCTTGCGAAGCTGTCAGGGAAGCCAGTGGGAGACGGCCCTTGCCTTGCTCGCCACCATGCCTTACGTCGAAATTCAACCCACAGTGCCTCGGCATGCGAGTCTGGGGGGGGGGGTCTGGGAGGGGGGCTTGGGGGGGAACGGGTTCTTCCATTTGCTTCAGATGATTTGTTATACTTCCCCCTGTGTTGGGTTTCAAAGGGAATCTATCACTAGCGGACAAGTATTTGTTTTTCTCCAGGGGTTCTCAAAATGGACCTAGTTTTAAAGGAAAGCCAAGGAACCCACCCATTTTGGTTTCCTCAACTTTGCAAAACACCCAAATGGGGCGGCCGTACTTTTCTTCGAGTGACCAAAATGGTTTACGAGATCATGGGAATCTACCATGTCCTTTTTAGGGTTTGGTTAGACATTGCTGGTTTAGATTGGGTTTGTTCCGATTACCAGGGCCATGTTCTCCACAAGGTCATGGAAACCGCACCATTTGGAGTTTTTCCAGGCATTTTTGGACAAAGGGCAAGTTCCCCAGAAGGCCCTCTCCCCCTCCCCAGCCCGCGCAAGCCAAACTGAGAAACCAACAAGAAATACAAGTATGCCTGCTCAACCAAGGAAGTATCCGGGTTGCGATGTAGTCAAGCAATATATATGTTACTAGAATTATAAATGGGTAAATGGGTGGGTTGAGTCGAGAAAACCAGCGCAACATTGGATTTATCCTTTAACCCTGCAGCCCCCCTTGTGTGATTTCCAAGCATCACCCTTTATGCAAACATGCTGGCTTTATGGCCATGGTTTGCCCTGCGTTTGGCATCAGCACGTTGTTTGGGTCTTGATAAGCAGTTATTCGCATGAGCATTCAGGTTCAATAATGGCAGGTACTAGTTTGAGCAGACTGGAGTACGCAATCTCACTGCGGCCAGAAAGATTTTCATGTCCAGATTGTCTGACAGCATTGGGCCCAATGTTTACATGCATCATTTACAGTTTGGATCTGTACCATCAGAGGTGGTGCGAGTTGCTTGAAAGCCAGAGCGAGTTCGACAGATTGGCAATTGTCATGAGAGCCATCAGCTCGAGTTCTTTTGGGGGGAAAGCTCCATTTCAGGGTATTTCAGGGAGTGCTGGGGCTAGGTTGGAATGTGGCGCGAAAACTTAAGCTTTTTCTCTCCTCAATTTCAATGCGGATAATGCTGGTGATAAAGGGTCCGCAGCCCTGGCATCCTCAGGTAAGACCAACAGCCTCTATTTGAAATTTGGTGCAAAGCATGGCTGTTGACCCAACATGCTGCTCGAACTACCTCCTGGTTTGGAGTTGAAAGCGGGCACGCGTAGTAAAACACGGACCCCCGTTACCCGGCCAGCGCAACGGCCGTTACGTGCCCCAGAACGCCCGAATGACTTGACTGCTACTGGGTTGGATCTTTGGACTTTAGCTGTTTGAAAACCCCCGAAACAAAAAAAAGAAACAAGAAATAAAAAGGCTAACCCCCCAAAAAGGTTCGGGGTTTCCACTAACCCCCCCAAAAGTTATTTAAAAAAAAAAACAAAAAAAAAACTTGCAGGGGGGTCGTTGCAGCAAGATGAGGTCATCACCCTCAACTCCGCCACCACAGCCTGCGAGAAAGCCGGCTGCTGGCAACACGCCCTCGCGCCACTCGGATGCGGTCTGCGGTTTTCTGCGGCTGGGTCACAAGACTTTGACCTCCATTGGCTGAAGATGTTTTTTCTATCAGGGCTCCTTAAAAGATACATCTTGCAACCATTTGAAACATGATTTGTCCCACCAAAATAAAGGGACACCACCATTTACAAGGCAATGTTCAGGTGTATGATGTTGTTGGGTTCATCACTGCTGGAAATCTGTTCCATTTTTTTCCTGGGGTTGAACTCATTTCTAGGGTACTCTTGGCGATGTCACTTTTTGTGACCCAGTATGCTGGGTGGACCTACAGGACAAGAGGTGGAGAGTTTCAGGTGCAACACTATTGTCAGGAATGAGTTTCCGAGGTATTGGTTACGCCTTGTGCGCCACCAAAATACCAGATTGTGCATAGATCTTGTCCCCCCCTCAATCTGTTGCACAACCTAGGGTTGTCAATCGTTCACCCAGGCCGTTCACAGTGTCAGTTTATCAAGTTTTGGAGGGTCGCCCTTTTTCTGCGCTTTCTGGGGAAACCAGAAGAAGACCCACCATTGTTGAGGTCCAAATCTAAAAGAAGACCAGCCATCCATTTAGAGATTCATTTTCTAGTTTGGCGAAGCCTTCCATTTCTTTTTGGGGGTCCGATTCCCTTGAAAAGGGACGAGCCACCCGCGTCGTTCTTGGCTTTACCCCGAGCCTTGAGGCTTCTCCTGGCTGCTGGCAGCTTGGCAGACGCGGTCTCCTGGAGTGCCGCCATCAGCGCCTGCGAAAAGGCGGGGGAAACCCGAAGAATCGGCTGGGAAGGGAGGCTTGTGGGATCACTCGGGGTTTATCCAACCACTTCTTTGATGCAGTCCTTGTTGTTGTATCACAGAAGGAATCTCCTCTTTGCATGGGGGGTTGGTCTTTGGGAGGCCCTTTTTGTTGTATCACAGAAGTGGATTCCATTTCACACTTTCCCACAGCCCTGGTGGGGAAGGACTGAATGACCCAATCAACCTGGACAATTCCCTTGAAGGAAACCACAAGCAGGGAAGTTATTCCGGGTCATTCCCTCATTCTTCATTCCCGGCTGAGAATCAGCAAGACAATTGGACAGGATTATTTTTGGTGATGGTAATGGACCTTTGGACTTTACTGCTTGGTTGAAACTGGTCGGATTTTCGATGGGTCCCACAAACAGTTTTACACTTTGTGCAGGGGGTTCAACAACGACCAAAATTTGGGGGTCTTTTTAAAATAGCTAACAGTACGCGGGCAACAAATAGCTGTGGATGGTTGCGAAATCCATTTCGCACAGCGAACTGCAAACATGGTTGAAACCATAACATTTGCTGGTACTTACAGGGAAACCGAATCATTCCAGGGGTTTCTAGGCGGTGCAGGAGTTCATCCATCCACAGTATGACACAGAATCTGAACAGTTTGTGCCCTGAATAGGACAAGACATTTGCAATGGCGATTGTCCCTCGTTTTTTCTTTGGAACCGGCATAAAGAGGGCACTCTCACAAACGGACACCTCACAGCCCGATGGAACCTCTAAGCATTGGTAGCCTTTTAGGGGGGTGCTCGGAGCCTTGAAAGGATGAGCGAAACATGAAGATAGAACCATTGGCCAAGGGTTTGTTTGGTTTTAGGGAAAAACTGTGGTTACAGAGTCTTTGGTTCGGGGAAAAAGCCTGGGAGAGGGGCTTTGTGACCCCTTTTCAGACCCGGGTCTGGTTGGTTAATTACTCCAACTGCTGGGATTGGCCGCGTGGGTGGGCGGGCGGGCGGGCGGGTGAGTGGGGTGGGCGGTCGCTTTCTTGGGCCAATCAATTCATTCGGAAGTGGCTATAGGGTTGCTCCTTCGACCCGAAGATGAGCATAGATTTTAGGGCTGTTTCTACCCTGCCAGCCTCCTGATATATTTCATATTGGTTTCCAGCACCTTTTAGGCGAGTTCAATCATCACCCAGCAGGCGGTTCGGGTTGGCGGCTTGGGGCGCCTTGTTGATGAAGCCAAAGCGGAGAGCAGGCCCGAACCTCTAACTCGCTAAACCCAGCCACCCGCCGGTGGTCTGGTTTGGTTTGGGCGTGAGGTGCCTTCCTCATGTGGGTTCAAAAGGAACTGGGCCTCAACCCAAACCACGAATCCGAACCACTATTCAAGGGCAGCACGCGAGCCATCCGGACCATTTTTGGAAGACGATTGAAGAGTTTTCCCTTTGGACTTTGGGAGTTTGTGCTACTTCCACGTGGGACTGTTTTGACTTTGAGCGACCCCCCAACATGGGAATGTTTTGTTTTTTGTGTGTTTTTTTCCCGCGAGGGACACCACCACCAATTGCGAGGTGTATATATATATATATATATGGGGTCCATTGGGGGGGGGGTACCATATGTATTTATATATATATATATGTATATGTACTGGTTTTTTGAAGGAAACCTATCCCTGGACATCTTTTATCATGTGTTCCAAGTGAAAAAGCAAACGGAGGTAGCCCCAGACCAAACCCACGCCAGCCGCTCGGTGAGGCCGGGCAGTGGCTGCAAGCCCTTGAGCTCTTGGCAGCCATGCCGCGTGGCACAGAATCCTGAAAGGGATTCCGCACGTGTAGATATATATATATATACAAATATTATATATACACGTGTTATACAATATACATATATATATATATATATATATACAACTATTATATATAGAGGTGTATTTTCACATATATATGTATATATATGTACAAATACATACATGTAGTCAATATAATCGGTATATGTGCATATGTTTGAATTCGCAGGCTGAACCGGAGGGAAGGAATTGCATCCTTGAGAATGGTTGGCAGCATTGCGCTGGCAAAGTGTGTATGTTTGATCTTAGCTGTTCGTGCTGGTTTGGGGAGGTGGTAGTGGACACCTTCCTCGGAAGGAAGGAATGGATCTGGGCAAGCTAGAAAACGAGCTCACCCGCACCCTTGAAGGTTTTGGCCAGTCTGGAGTTACATTCTGTTAAATCTGCATGACACGTCCCTGTTGGGAAGCCCAGTCTGGGCAGAATTCCCGCGCAAAAAGCAACAATCAATAAATCCAAAAAAAAAACACGAACAAAATCCCGCAATAAATCCGCACCCAAAGCAAGGACAGAGAAGGGCTGGAACTCAGGACGGTTTCGCCCAACGTCATCACACACAACGCAGCCATCAGCGCCTGTGCCGTGCTCAGATCTGCCAAGCGATTCAGCGCGAGAGTCAGAGGTGTGGCTGCACGGGTTCTCAGAAGAACCAAGTATCAGTTGGCTTCCATTTGCTTAAGAATATTGTTTTTGTTCCCCTGTTGGTTTGAGAGGGAATCAATGTCACTACTGTTTTTGTCTTCCAAGGACTTAAGCAAATGGAACTTGGGTATTTGGCTGTGTGGCTGTGGCTCAAAGAATGGTACCCACAATGGGACCTTGGCATATGGAAACATAGACTAAAACCCGCGGTAACCCCAGAAGTTGCAGTTAGAGGGCGCCCATGTGTCAAACTCGGGGAACCCCAACATGCTGGCTTTCCGTTTGGCTTTGCTTTCAACCAACCTGAAGCACGGTACCCTGCTTCGTTTCTCAAGATATCAGGTACCCCTTCTCGTAGGCAGAAAATCAAGTTCTATCGAATCGGGTGTCAACACACAAACACTCAGGTAATCTCCTTGCTAATGCCTGGAACGAGAGGCTTGCGCAAGGGGCATCTTCGCGGCCTGCCTTATTTGGGAACTGGATGCTTTCTGTGAATTTGTTGTGCCCGCAAGCCTTTTGTTTGGCCCTTAAGACCTCCCAAAATGGCGTCGCTATTTCGAGGCCTGGACTTGGAGGAAATGCGTTTCAACTGATGGAAGAGCCGGAAGTATTTGTCGGCTTCCGGGTTGGAATCCCCTCGACCTTGTCAGCAGCCTCTAAACTGCTTCGGGGCTCGGCAGATTCCGAGGGTGGCAGACCCATTTGTGGAGCGAAACTTCGGGAAATGGGTATGGGTCAAAATTACACGGTGCAGGGACCGCAGGTATTCGTCTTTGGTTCCATTCTCCGAGGCAACCCATTTTGGGGTTACCCCAGTTTTTGAGGCACACCCAAATCAAATGACCCCCTTAGCTGGCTGGCTTTTGAGGAGCGCTTCCGCAAAGTTGTTATAGGAAGCAAATGGACATAAAATTGAAAGAAAATATATTTGCGAGTCAAGGAATAAGGAACCGCACAATGCTTCCTTCGCTTTCACTTTGCTTAAGAGTATTTTTCCCCCCTGTTAATTTTAAAGGAAATCGATGTCGCTACTGGACACACATGTTTACGCTTGAATTTCCCCAGAAGGCTTAAACAAATGAAAGTTTACCAAAGCAGCCCATGGATTCCCCTTTTTCATCACCCCAAACCGATCCGCGCCGATCCGCCGCCAGCACTGGACGAGGCGAGAAGGGCCGGCAGTGGCCACGAGCGCTGCATCTCTTGGTGGCCATGCGCTCGGCTGGCTGCCCGCAGGAGAGACGCCGTCGGCACGGAATGTCTCACTTCCAAGTTCCTAGACTTTAACACGTTTTTGGGTTTGGACCATTCTGGTGGACAACAAGTTTGGACTTTTGCCGGCCACTCAAGTGAGAAATTGTGGGGGAGGGGACCCCAAAATGGTTGGTGAGGCTTTGTGTTTTTTTGCTGGTTTATTGGTACAACACACTAAGAATATGAGGGGTGTTCTTCTTGATGTTTCCCTGTTCAGCCAGTTTGAACATCACTTCTCGGACTAAGCTCGAGTTGAATTTCCTATTGGTGTGATGCTTAAAGTGTAGATTCGGGTAATTGGTGGTTGGAGGATTTGAACCCCTGGTTCTTGTGGAGGATAGGCGGACTCCCTCCTGAGCCCAAACCACCGCTTGGAAGGAAGCTGAGAAATGGTTGCAACCAGTGTAAACAACCAACTGGGCCCTCCAAAGGGGAGTTCGCCGTTAAACAAATGCCATTGCTCTTGGGACCCAGTGAGAAACCCGTTTGAACCGCCAGTTCGCTCGGATAAGTTTGAGGATGTCACTTCGATTGACCCAGCACATGTTTGACATGTGCTCCCGCACCCTGAGGCTCTCTCTTGATGTCGCATGTTCAGGCTCACCACATATTCGGCCATAGTCCAACTTCAAGTCTTGGCTCAATCACACCCTAAACTCTAGTGGTACCTTCCCCATTCTGTCCAGGGATCCTTCTTTCCAGAAAACTTTCAGAAACCCAGGGAAAAGGCCGGTTTTTGAAAGGAACGATGCTTGAAAGGAATGGGGAGTCAACCCCTAGATAAACGAGCTCCCTGCACTGGGGGGCGGATCTCGCGCCCCGCGCCAGGACCACATCAGCTTTTGCGCTGCAGTGAGCGCATGCTGCCTGGCGGAAGTTTTTGGCGAAATCGGGGGCCCTGGACACCTTGGGTCGACAGATGGCTGTGGCTCTTTAGGGGAAAAATGGATTTCGGGTGTTCTCGTGGTTTCCCTTTCCCCCCACAAGGATGGATTCCGGGTTTCCTCGTGGTTTCCCTTTAATTAAAGCCCACCAAGACAAGGGTTTCAACTCAAAAAGAACGAGGCACTGCAAATGACTCCGCTGCTGTTGGAACCTGGCACTCAGCTTTCATTTGCAGCTTGGGTGTAGCATCCATTTGAGAGGTGGTTCACCGTTTGTTTCACTCGGTCGATCAGTCAAAACCTCTGCTGCTTTACTGGTGTAGGTTCTTGGTTGGAGTGGTTTCTTTTCTTTAGAATATTTTCTCGTTATTGTCCGCTGTTTTTTGGGGGGTCGATTTCACGATTGAACATATGCTTTATATCGTGTTCCAAGTGGCGAAAATGCAAATGGAGGTCAGTCAATAGAGAACATGACCTTCCAACCTTCGGGTTGTGGGAATGAAC